GGCCCCGCCTCGCTGAGAACGGGGTCCGCGCTGCACGGCCAGAGAGGCCCTGAATGCCGAGAGCTCTCCTGGAGCGGCAGGGAGCGAATGGAGACTACGCGCCTTCACCCCCGCAGTAAACGTTACGCCGCTTGGGATTAATCTGCCATGGACGTTAGTGTACTGAGGTCGAGGAAGAAATCCAGCAGCACCAAACGCAGCTTGCTGTCTCATTTACAGTGTCACTGGTAGGCCCAGCGTGAGTGCCAGGCCATGCAGGCAGAGGCACGCTCAGGAAACTCGGTGTAGCCCAGTGAGCTGGGTAGTAGCCGGTTTCCACCAGAGAGCAGTGGCAGATAATGCTGGGAAGTTGGGTTGGACTCTTGGCAGGGTGATGAAGCTTGGATGAATTCCACATCCCTTTCCCACACTCTCCAGCCTCCTTCCCAAAACACACAGAACCAGAAATTTGTATCATAAGTTTTATTCCCGATGCGGGATAGATTCCTTCCATCCCCAAAATGAATCACATGCTGCCCTGGAGATCTAGGAGATTCTCCCGTCTCTGGGGAAAGAGTACAAAGGCAGTGCTGGGGACAAGGAACACTCCGCAGTTCCCCATGCAACTTATCTTCCCCTTCTCACTGAGGATAGCTGCTCCCCACTAATTAGTTCTCTCATCTATTCATCCCTTAAAAAAAAACACACACAAGCACCTTACTATTAACAAAAACACATCTCAAGTATGGGTGGAACGGTCCTGGGCTGGGACACCAGGTCAAGGACCGCCAATGGAGGAGGGAAGGGGAGGAGAGAAGGAGCCATCACTGTTTCTGCTGCAGGGCCTCCTTCCTTGCTGCATCCTGTAGTAACTGCGTGTCCACCTCATCTGCTGGCAACTGCACATAGCGGACCACTGAGCCCCGGATGAAGCAGTTCTTCACTGATAACTAGACAAAGGTAGGCAAATGTGAAAACACCCTTAAAAATGTCCTCTACCCACCCAGGGGCCTCCTGTTTTCGAGGTGTTTCCTCTTTTCCACCATTCCCAACTCACCATGTGAGGGTATTTCTCAGGGTCTGTGACACTGATGTCAGTTAGTTTGATGTTGAGATACTAAGGAAAGAAAATGAACACCACCATTAGCCCTAGAGACAAGATACAAATACCCCATCCTTTTTTTTTTAAATATATCTTTATTGATTTCAGAGAGAGGAAGGGAGAGGGAGAGAGAGAGAGAGAAACATCAATGATGAGAGTCACTGATCGGCTGCCACCTACACGCCGCCCCCAACTGGGGATGGAGCCTGCAACCTGGGCATGTGCCCTGACTGGGATCGAACTGCGATCTCCTGGATCCTAGGTCGACGCTCAACCACTGAGCCATGGTGGCTGGGCTACCCCATCCTTAACCTTTTTCCCTTCTCCTTCCCCAAGACCAGTCCTAGGCCCTTGCTTTGTCTTACCTGATCCACAGAATGGAGGGTTCCACAGATGCTGTCAGGGGCAGAGGGAAGGAAGAACCAAATTAGTTTACACCAAAGTCAACACAGAGGTGACTTGAGAGCTGAGATAAGAACGTGGTTTGGAAGTCAAGGACTTGAGAAAACCAGAATAAGTGGAACCAAAAGGGGGCATTCCTAAGCCCTAGAGTAGGAAAGACAATGCTTCCAGAACAGTTATTTTCTATTGTACATCTTGCCCTACACCAACCCACTCTTAAGAGCCATCTTGTATTTCTTCTGTATTCTGTATAGCATTTGTAATTTTTACAGCCACTTTTATAATCTTTTAGCTTATCTGACAACAAGCCTGTAGAAAGTAGCTATTACCATCCAGGGGCTCAGAAAGGTTGTGTAACTTGCCCACGTTTAGAACAAATAAACAAGCACTCAGTCCTTATCTGCCTGACCCCAGACCATCAGCTATTTTCAAACATTTATGGCTTTGGACCCAGAGCCCCATATGTAAACTAGATAAAGCAGCTAGCATTGCTCTTGAAGGGACAATGGATGTTTTCTCCCTTCCCAATCCCTGAAATGTTAATGAGGAATGTTATCATATACCAGTGTTCCAAGCCCTGCTACCTCTCTCTCCCAACTTTTTAAATTTGTCAGTGGCTTCAACACTAAGTCTCACAACCTCAAATCCCATGAATTGTATCTTTACCCTGCATGCTCCATAAATCCCCATCATTGGCTGATGTCTAACATTTCTGTAATTCTCCTTCTAATTTGAATTCTACAAACCAAGTTCCTTTTACTTTACATATACCTCAATCCAGGCCATCCTCCAACCTGGCCACCCTATCCTAACCGTCCAGTGTGTCACCACCAGATTCTAAGTTCCTTAGAACTGTGGTGCTAAAATACTGATGTGTGCTCAAAGGTGTCATGAATCCATGACAAAAGGAAACACAGGCAAACATAGTGTGTACTGAGTGTGTATGTAGTATGCTGAAGGTTGTCAATTTTATTTCCTAAAAATGACTTTTTTATTTTGGGGGGTAGGGGAAGAAATATCCATTTTTTATCCACTAATTTATGTATTCATTGGTTAATTCTTGTATGTACCCTGACTGGGGATAGAACCCACAACCTGGCCTACTGAGATGAAGCTCTAACCAACTGAGCTACCTGGCCAGGGCTAAAAAATAACTGTTCTTGATTGTGTCCTTCATATTTTTTTGGTATTAAAATTTCTTAAGTGAAATTATTTTAATAAATAGCAGTTTTAAAAAATGTCCTTATCTTGCCAAAAATAAAGTTGGCATCTCTCTGTTGGACCCTCGTTTTTGTAAAACTTGAAGTCTTTGAAATCTAGTGTCTGAGCCCTACTGCCTCAGTGGGGGTTTCACCATATCCCTAGCTCCTGAAAAGCCTTTGACAGCACCTTACTACCATGTGCAGCAGTGAAGTAACTTCCAGGAATTGTATAAGGTGGTATTATTTAATTCAATTCCTTAATGAGATATTTGGCACAAACAACAAGCCTGAGAGAAAGCTCTTCTCCCAACCCAGTGGATTACCTTTGAACCTTAGTCTTTGCTTTAGGACCTGGAGCTAAAACATAACAGTTTTTTGCCATGTGGAAGGCCCAGGAAGGAGAAAAGAGAAAAATAAAAACCAAGTTATCTCACAGAATTGCCTAGGGTTGGTCTGGGTTTCCACAGCTGTCTCTCTATGTGGCCCTAACCTATATGCCACCAACACCATATGCATTGCTAGTATAAATGAAATCTCTGATGTAAAAGGCAAGTCCCTCTCCTCACCATTCTCTGCCATGTCAATGTTTCTTCCATTAAGAAATAATCTCACATAGAAATGTGGAAGACACTGCTGGGGAGAGAATACACTGATTCAGACTTTCTAAAGGACAATCAAATAGTAGGTATCACTATTTTATTATTTTTAAAATCTTTACCTGAGGACATGTTTTTATTGATTTTTTTTTTAATCCTCTCCCAAGTATATTTTTTCCATTGCTTTTTAGAGAGAGAG